GGCCCAAAGCTCCCAGGGCTGCCGCGGGGGCTCACCAGGAGCCCGATGCAGCAGGAGCCAACCAGTGCTCATTGCAGAAAGGGTTTACTGGGGGTGGGGGGCACTGAGACCCCCGTGCTCTGCAGGGAGCTGAGGGTGAGGGGTGGAGGTGGGAGCGGGGGAACGGGCCCTTATCCAGCAGCTGGTGCATCCCTCCATGGCCGCTGTCTGTCCGTGTCTGTCCGGTGGCCGCACAGGCTGGGTCCTTGGCCCAGGTCCACGCAGGGGTTAGGTGAGTCCTGGGGAGAGACCAAAGCATCCGTGTCCCAGGCCCTGGCTTCGGGGCACGCTGGGGTGCAGCCATCGGCCCTGCTCAGGAAGCTGGGCTCCGGCCATGGCTGCACCCTCCCGCTGCACCGGCCCCGTGCCCGCCCTGCACTCACCGGTAGACACGAGCCGGGCCCAGAGGCAGCAGAGCCCCAGCAGCAGGAGCAGCAGCAGCAGCCGCATGGTGCGGGGCAGCCCCAGGGCTTGGGCACAGCTTTAAATCCTCTCATGGCTGGAGGCTGGTCCCAGTGACCTGGTCCGTGCCCAGCGCCCAGCACGCTCCGGCCAAGCGTGACCCCCCCTCCCCTCCCTGCATGGTGCTGCTGGACAAGCCAGGCAGGAGGCACAAAGCTGCTCCTGCTCTGTGCAGCCCTCAGAGAGCTGTGTTGTGTTTGCCATGTGCCATGTGTGCCATGTGTGCTGTGCTGTGTGTGCCATGTGTGCCATGTGTGCTGTGTGTGCCATGTGTGCCATGCTGTGCTGTGTGCCATGTGTGCTGTGTGTGCTGTGCTGTGTGTGCCATGTGTGCTGTGCTGTGTGTGCCATGTGTGCCATGTGTGCCATGTGTGCTGTGCTGTGTGTGCCATGTGTGCCATGTGTGCTGTGTGTGCCATGTGTGCTGTGTGTGCCATGTGTGCCATGTGTGCCGTGCTGTGTGTGCCATGTGTGCTGTGCTGTGTGTGCCATGTGTGCCATGCTGTGCTGTGTGCCATGTGTGCTGTGTGTGCCATGTGTGCCATGTGTGCTGTGCTGTGTGTGCCATGTGTGCCATGTGTGCTGTGTGTGCCATGTGTGCCATGTGTGCCGTGCTGTGTGTGCCATGTGTGCCATGTGTGCCGTGCTGTGTGTGCCATGTGTGCTGTGCTGTGTGTGCCATGTGTGCCATGTGTGCTGTGCTGTGTGTGCCATGTGTGCTGTGCTGTGTTGTGTTTGCCATGTGTGCTGTGCTGTGTGTGCCATGTGTGCCATGTGTGCCGTGCTGTGTGTGCCATGTGTGCCATGCTGTGCTGTGTGTGCCATGTGTGCCATGTGTGCCGTGCTGTGCTGTGTGTGCCATGTGTGCCATGCTGTGCTGTGTGTGCCATGCTGTGCTGTGTGTGCCATGTGTGCCATGTGTGCCGTGCTGTGCTGTGTGTGCCATGTGTGCCATGCTGTGCTGTGTGTGCCATGCTGTGCTGTGTGTGCCATGTGTGCCGTGTGTGCCATGTGTGCCGTGCTGTGCTGTGTGTGCCATGCTGTGCCGTGTGTGCCATGTGCGCTATGTGTGCCGTGCTGTGCCGTGTGTGCCGTGTGTGCTGTGTGTGCCATGATGTGCTGTGTGTGCCATGTGTGCCATGTGTGCTGTGTCATGTGTGCCATGTGTGCCATGCTGTGCTGTGTGTGCCATGTGTGCCATCCTGTGCTGTGCCATGTGTGCCATGTGTGCCGTGCTGTGCCATGCTGTGCCATGTGTGCCATGCTGTGCCATGTGTGCTGTGTGCCATGCTGTGCCATGTGTGCCATGCTGTACCATGTGTGCTGTGTGCCAGACTGTGCCATGTGTGCTGTGTACCATGCTGTGCCTTGTGTGCCATGCTGTGCCATGTGTGCCATGCTGTGCCATGCTGTGCTGTGTGCCATGCTGTGCCATGTGTGCCATGCTGTACCATGTGTGCTGTGTGCCATGCTGTGCCATGTGTGCCATGCTGTGCCATGTGTGCTGTGTGCCATGCTGTGCCATGCTGTACCATGTGTGCCATGCTGTGCCATGTGTGCTGTGTGCCATGCTGTGCCATGCTGTGCCATGTGTGCCATGCTGTACCATGCTGTGCCATGTGTGCCATGCTGTGCGTGTGCCATGCTGTGCCATGTCACAAGAGCAGCTGGTGCAGCTTCCTTTTGTGTAGGGCAGGTACAGGCAGGGTCCAGAGAACCTGCGTGGATCTGGCCGTGCCGGGGCGATGGAGGTGGCTCCCATTCGGGCACTGTGGAGCGGCCCGCGGTGCCCTGGCAGCTCCCCAGGCATTGTTCTGCCTCCAGGAACAATCGCTGGCTCCCAGGGGACGTCCTGTGACAGGACACGGTTCACAGCCCCGCGCTGCCACCGCAGCCCCCAGCTCCCGGCCAGCCCATGCCCACCTGGCCCCACACCTTGGGCAGCAGCTGGGGACCAGGACTAACGGGGGGGGTACAGGGCCCTGATGCTGGGAGCAGGGAGCTGGAGGCTGTGTGGGTGCTCTGCCTGGGTGCCAGGACTGTGGGGTCATAGCACCGTCCTGTGTCCTTCGAGGAGCCAGGGTGGGTGCCCAGGTCCCTGTCGCACAGTGCTGGAGTTTCCTCTTGCCTCCTGCTCCCTTCCATGGGGCTGGAACCCCACAGCCCCCTTCCATGGGGCTGGTGGGACCAACCGCTGCAGCCGCTGCAGCCGCCTGCTGCTGGGGCTCCAGGCATGGGCATGGATCAGCGTCTGGAAGGACAGAACCCTTCCCAGGCTCTGGCTCTGCTTCCCCCCCACAGCTCTGCCCGTGCCTGGCATCCCACGGCCATCGCTCAGGGCCCGGCTCTCCTGGGGGGCACGAAGCTGCCCCCAGCACCATGGAGGCACCTGCCAGTGTGCCACAGGCCATGCTGGCAGCAGGGGCTGCCCTGGCCGGCGCCGCATGGGGCTGCTGGTGGCGTTGGCTGCTGCCGCTGCGTGTCGCAAGGACGGAGGCTCTGGAGCTGCTGGGATTTTCCTTCCGGGAAGAGGCAGGAGGGCTCCGGCTCGCTGGGCCGGCTGCACGCACGTGTGCGAGCGTGTGCGTGTGCACGTGCAGCCACAGCCGGCACGGGCTGGACACGTGCGCGTGCGTGCGCAGTCCACGCTCCGTGTGTGTGTGCATGGCTGAGGGTGTGCATGGCTGCGTGTGTGCATGGCTGCGTGTGTGCATGGCTGCGTGTGGGCGCAGCGCACGCTGCGTGTGCCACCCAAAGCACCCACGGTCCTGGCTGGGTGGGCAGCACCATGCACCTGCCAGCATGCCACTGACTGCATGGGGACTCCCTCCCGTTGGTGTGACCCATCCCGGGAGCACAGGGAGGCATGCGATGAGCAGCAGTGGGGAGCGCGGGCTCTGCTGTGCTGGGGGGTCCTCACTGTGAACAGGGTCAGGTCAGGTCAGGGTGGGCAGCAGGGACAGCGCCTGGCTCCTATCACGCCATGGAGCATCAGTCCCGTCAGGACATCATCCTGGTGGCACAGAGCTGTCCCACACACCCCACACCCACCCCCCCATGATGACACAAGCCCTAGCACCAGCGGCACCAGCCCCATATCCACCGCTGTGTCTGCCCACCTTGGCCATGGCATTCCTTTGGGAGCAGGGGCTGTTCTGGATGATGATGTCAGTCCCTGCAGCGATCACCCGGCTGGCTGAGATACCATGGGAAGATAATGGGGAAAAATGTAGTGCCGGTGGACTTGGTGCCGTGGCCCTGCCCTCCTGTGGGACGCAGTGCTGGGAGTTTCTGTGTCACTGGGAATGTCCTGTGCAGCTCCAGGTCATGGAAGATGAGCTGCAGCCCCAGGACCACCCCTGTCCCTCCGCAGGGGTTCCTTTCCTGTCGCTGTTGTGTCCCTCCAGCTTTGCTCCCGCCCCACTCAGGCTTTGCCACATCACCGTGTCCCGTGCGGTGCCGCTGCCAGGCTCTCCATCCTGGGTTTCACAGCAGAGGCAGGGAAAGGCTGCACTGGGACGTGGGTGTCCCCGCAAACTGCACCCCACATCCAGCTTTCTTGGCCTCTCCCCACGGAGCTTTCCTCGCCCTCCACTTCCCCCTTGGGACGGTAATTACGCCCGTAATTAGGAAGACAATTATTCCTGCTGAATGGCAACAGCTTAATCTGTTTCTCCCTCCTTTTGGCAGGTTTCACCCCACGCCCGCCCAAGGGTGTTGGCAGGATACCGGGGATGTGCCTGCGCCCTGCCCAGCGCCCGCAGCCCTGCGCTGCAGTGGGTCTGGACCTCCAGCTGTGTCCCAGGGAATGAATGCCTCACACGCAGGGGGGTCGGGGGGGGCACGGGCACGGCTCTGCACGGGCAGCCCCGGGAGAGGAGCAAGTGAAGGGGATGGTCCCAGCCCAGGAGAAGGTGATGAAGTGGGTGGCAAAGTGCCTGCAGGGTGAGGAGAGACGGGAGCATCACTGTCCTGAGGGCCCTCTCTTCCACAGCAGTGGTGGCTGGCACACGGGGTGGGACCGAGGGCTCAGCGCTTTGTGGGACCATCCGCCCGGGATGCTCCATCAACCGGGGGGGAGCGCGGCAGAAAGGGGTGAAGGGGCCTTTCCCCGAGGACCTGCACCGCGGGCAGAGCAGTCCCGCAGCACCCGGTGCCCAGACCCTGCCCTGTGACGCCCCGGAGGCTTTCTGCGCCCTTTCCATGCTCCCTGGCAGCGCAGAGGCTGGCACCGACCTCCCCGTGCCAGTCGCCACCACGGCTCGTCCCCAGGGGCTGCGGCGGGCGCCGGTGGTGCCCCCAGCCCAGCGCGGGCAATGCCGCCGCCGCACCGGGGCAGCCATCCCGTCGTACCGGTCGCCCCGGCTCAGCGCTGCTGCGGGATGCTGCCGGGGAGGCCGGGCCCGGCCTGGGCGCGGCTCGTTACCCACATGGCAGGAATTAGCCGGGCTCCCTCCGCCCCCCGGCACACCTTAAATCCCGGCCCGCCGTGCCCGGGCCAGACCCGGCTGCCCAGGGCACCATGGAGCTGCTGCCAGGCCGCCTCTTCCTCTTCCCCCTCCTCGCAGCCCTGCTCCCCCTCTCCGCACGGTCTGGCCCGACCCCGCTCACAGCTGGACAAGAGGAGCTGGGGACGGGTGAGTGAGCTCAGGGCATGTGCCGGGGATGCTCCTGATGTGGCTGCCACCCAGAGCTCCCCGCGCGGTGCCTGCAGGGGCACGGGGCTGCGGGTGACCAGCGTCCAGCCGTGGGGTGCTGGGGGGCTGCCCTGAGCCCGCCCCAGTGTCCTGCTATGTGTGTTCTGCAGCGAAGCCCGGGTACTGCTACCACATCCCAGAGGTGGAGGACCTGCTGCACCACGACTGCAACGCCTGCCACAAGGACGCCTCCTGCTCCCGCTGCACCAGAGATGCTGGCTGCCCCGGTGCCACCAAGTGCTGCCCCAGCAAGTGCGGCTACACGTGCCAGGAGCCGGTGCTGGGTGAGGGCTCGGTGCCGCGGTGGTGGGGGTCAGCAGCAGGGCGGGAGCCAAGCAGACAAGGAGGGGGTATCCCTGAGCTCTTGTCGGGTCCTGCAGAACCAGGGGGCCCCATGCTGCGGGCTGGGGAGTAACCACCTGCAGGTGCATGGGGCCATGGGGCCGGCGGGTGTAGAGCTGGCTGCTGGTGGGAAGGGTTTGGTGCTAAGAAGGGACCGGAGCTGTGGAGGTTTCTCCAGGGGCCCTGGGAGTGCCGAGCCCGGCAGCATCCGTTTGCCACCCTTGGCTCAGCCTGTTCCCTTGGACCATGCAGACTTCTGCTACCTGCCCTCTGTCTGCGGGAACTGCAAGGCGCTCTTCCACCGCTTCTTCTTCAACGCCTCCAGCCAGCAGTGCGAGGAGTTCATCTATGGCGGCTGCGGTGGCAACAGGAACAACTTCGAGACCAAGGACGAGTGCTTCCAGGCCTGCTCCCACATTGGTAACTAGCCCTGTGCCTGTGCCGTGTGCCCTGTGCCGCTCCTGCCCCGCTCCTGATGCGCTGTGTCTCAGTTCCAGGTGCCCGGTAGTGCTGGCCCGGGGAGCACAGTGGCCTCTAAATCGTCCCTGCCCAGGGAAAGCTGCTGCTGGTGGCCACGGCCCTGTCCCCGTGGGGAGCCGCTCCCCACAGGGCTGGCAGTGATGGGCGCTGCTGGCCAGGGTGGCTGTGCTGGGGGCTGCGGCTCTGCCAGGGACGTTCTCCAGCCCAGGGGCAGGGATGCGCACCCACGGCAGCAAGGCTGCACCCTCCTGTGCCATGGTGCCCGGCTGGAGGAGCCTGACCCTCCCATGGGCTGTGACACTTCAATACAAGGGCAGGTCCTTGGATGAGCACGTCTGGGTCTTGTCCTTCCTGCCTGTGCAGGCAGCGCCCATCCCTCTGGGCTGACCTCCTGCACTGGCACCAGGCGCTGGGTGTCCTCAGCAGCACCACATTCAGCCCCAGGCTCACCCAGCCACCACCCTGCAGCTCCCACTGCCCCTGGATGGGCTCCCGGCCCCAGCTCTGCCCTCAAGCTGCCTCCGTGACCTGGCTGGGAGCTACAGCAATCTGCTGGAGGAGGAATAGACCCTTTGGTGGATGCTGGGGCATACCCATCCCACAGCCTCGGGTCCATGTCTGCCCCAGACCTGGGCTTGTGTTTGCATCACTTCACTGACCTCTGGTGAAGGTCCTGAGCCACCAGCCCTAGCCCTGGTAAGGCCATCCCTGCCCCGGTGAGCCCTGGGGCTGTCCCAGTGCCTGGTGGGGTCAACCTGGTGCTGCCAAGACTCGGGGGGCAGCTGGAGGTGGCCAAGCACAGGGTTTATTGCTGGAGGTGCTGGGGAGGGGACAAGCCAGCTGGCCCCGTGTCCCCTTCCAAAGATGTCTTCCTGCCATGGAGGAGCTGCTCTCGAGTCATGCAGAATCTGAAAAGGATGTGTTTTTAGTGAGCTCTGAGGCTGTGGAAGCCACGGGTGCCGCTGAGCACAGCTGGTTCTGGCAGCAGTTTCATCCAGCTTCATGTCCTTTTGGGTCCCCTTAACCCAAAAGCACATCTGTGCTGGGAGCAGTGATGGGGCAGCAGCAGGAGCCGGCTGCAGGGATGTGGAGCCAGGAGCACACAGAACACTGAGCCCTTCATATGGCTCTGCCCTGGTGCTGGCCCCAGCAGCTTGGTGGCCCAGTGCCCCTTTCCCTGCAGGCACCAGTGTGCAGACAGGGCTGCAGCACTTGTGCCCCCAGGCGCAGTCCTCATGGAGGCTGCAGAGGTCCAGGCACATCCCACGGCCCCTGGGGTTGGGGCGTATTCCCCCCTGCCCATGATGCAGAGCAGCCCATGTGGGGCACCCCAGGGCGCTGTCGGGTCCCGGCTGGCCCAGCCCCACCTCACCTCTGGGGGTGTCCGTGCAGACGTGGCCGCAGCCGCTGTGGGTGCAGCGCTGGCCCCTGGGGCACTGCGAGTCGGCCTCGCACTCCTGCGGGCACCGCTCGGCCCCGTGCCAGGGCACGGCCGCGGACTCGCGCTCTGTGGGAGGGAGAGCCCGGTCGTGGGCAGCCCTGAGCTGAGGCCGTGCGTGCTCATCCCGTGCATGGAATGAGGGGGAGCACAGAAGGACAGACAGGGACAGCGGGGAGGGTGCGGGAGCACAGCCCCTCCTCGCTGGGGAGGGAGCACCAGGCTGGCCCCGTGGGGTTGGTGTCAGCCAGGAGGGGGTGCCTGATGCTGACCTTGCAGAGAGGCGGGGGTGCAGACATGGCCACAGCCATTGCTGCAGCACTTGTGTCCCCAGGGACACTCCTCATCGGAGCTGCAGAGGTCCAGGCACGTCCCTGCCTCCCTGGGGATGGGGCATGTTCCCACTCTGCCTGCAAGGGAAGCACCTGGCGGGGGTATCCCACCGTGGGGCACCCCAGGGTTGGCCCCCCATGGCTCTGGGTGACCCGGCTGGCTCTCACCTCCAGGGATGTCTGTGCAGACGTGGCCACAGCCATTGCTGGTGCACCTCTGTCCCTGGGGACACTGTGAGTCAGTCTCGCACTCCTCCATGCACTGGCCGCCATCCCTGTCCCAGCTCTCTGCAGGGGCACAGCCACTGCTGTCAGCCGGTGGCCCCCGGGCACTGGTGGCCAGTTCCCCCAGCAGTGCTCCTGGTACCTCTGGGCACGGCCACGCACTCCCAGGCGCAGCCGGTGTTGCAGCACTTCTCGGCTCGCCCGCAGATGCTGTCGTCCAGGCACTGGCTCCGGCGCCTGCGCCGCGGGTCCCAACACGGCTCTGCCCGAGGGCACTGCCCGGGGTGCTCTGCATGGGCCGGGACCAGCTCAGGGTGCGGGTCCCACGCACGTCGTTCCCCGTGCAGGGTCCGGGCTGCCCGCGCTCACCTCGGGCCGGGCGGACGCAGCGCATGGCGCAGCCGGAGAAGCAGCACTTCTCCTGCCGGGGACAGTCCCTGTCGTGGGCGCAGGAATCCTCCTCCTCCTCACACGGCTCCGGTGCCTGCCGCGGCCTCACCCTCGGGCACTCGCCGGGTTTGTCTGAGGGTTGGGAAGGGGTGACGGGGGCAGGCACTCCCTGCACTGCGGGCACCCCCTGCCCTCTGGGCTCTACCTGCCCCACGGCAGCTTTTCCATCTTGCCCTTGTGGCCACGTGGCCCTGGCGGTTGTGTCCTCACCTCGCTCAGGGGCTGAGCACACGTGCCCACATGTGCTGCTGCAGCACTTCTCATCCCCCGGGCACTGCCAGTCCCCAGCACAGGCAGTGCCGCATGGCGCCGCAGCGGTTGGTGCCTCCGGGGCCACAGGGCAGATGCTCGGTTTCTCTGGGGACAGGAGGCAGTGGAGCTGTGGGCACGGGGTGATGGCGATCCACAGCCCCACAGCTGGGGAGGATCCCAGCCTGGTGCTCTCATGCTGGGGCTGAGCAGCTCGCACCTCTGGCCGGGGGCAGGCAGACGTAGTCGCAGCCACGCAGGCAGCACTTCTCCTCACCGGGGCACCCGGCGTCGTGCCAGCACCAGGCTCTGCAGTCGTAACTGGGGAACAGCCCAGCACGGGCAGGGCAGAAGCCGGGCTTCTCTGGAGGGCATGGCATGGAGTGGCTGTGGGGCTGCCCAGGGCATGCATCGCTTGGCACCGCAGCCCCCTCAGCACCATGGCCCTGCTGCACCATGCACCGCAGCACAGCTGTACCCTGTGGCAATACTGCGGCATCTCCTCCCACCAGAACCACGGGGCTGGCACCAGACCCTCTCTCAGAGGTGTGGAGCGGAGCTGCTTTTGCCCCCACAGCTCCCCGGATTTAGTGGTCCCCCCGTGTCCCACCTTGGTGCACGGTGCTGCAGGACCCCGCGCACCGGCCGTCGCAGCACATCTCCCTGCTGCTGCAGTCCCCGTCACTCTGGCACCTCGCTCCCTCCTGCCAGGCTGCTGTGGCCGTGGGGGCCTCTGCAAGGCAGACGGCCCATGGGGTGCCAGGAATGCCAATGGGGACCGGGACACACTCATCCCCTCCCACCCTGGCACTGCCTGGCTCCTGCCCTGGCTGTGGCACTCACCCACTGCCTTCGTGCAGCACTCAGGGCCGCACCAGTGCTGGTATCCCTGTGCCCTCGGCTCCTGGCACTGCTCAGAGCACAGCCGTGGCGACCAGGGTGGGCAGAGCCATTAAAGCTCCATGGCAGGTCTGACCCGCTCACCTTGGCTGCGTGCGTGGCGCTGCCGGCTGCACTGCTGGTGGCAGCACACCTCGGAGGGGGGACAGTCCTGGTCCTGGCGGCACCTCTGCTGCTGGGGCTGCTGCGGGGTGGCTGTGGCAGGGCTGGTGTCCCCTGCACCGCAGAGCGGGACGGTGCCGGTGGTGAGGACAGAGCGGGATGGTGGCCGGCCGGGGGTGGCCTCGGGTCCCCTGCCCGCCCCAGTGCCGGCCCAGGAGCCGCGCGGTGCGTCCCTGTAGTGGCACCCGCACGGGGGCCGCAGGGGACAGCAGCGAGAGCTGGCACCGGCAAAGCACGGGGCGAGGGGCCCCGCTGTGCCACAGCTCTGTGCCTGGGGGGGCTCTGGCCCCACGGCATCACCCCTGGGCCCCAGCCCTGCCTGCGCTGCCCGTCCCGCCCCATCTCACCGGCCGGGGCTGGGGGCAGGCGCTGCCCCCCGCAGCTGCTGCTGCAGCACTTCTGCACGTCGGGGCGGTCGCTGTCGCCGCGGCACCGCTCCTGGCACGGGCTCTCCGACCCCGGCTGCGCCGCGGGGCACTCCCCGGGCTTGGGTTGGTCTGGGGGAGCAGAGCGGGTGCGAGGCTGCAGCATCCCCGCGGGTGCCTGCCCGCGCCGGGGCTCGCTGGCCCCTCACCGTGGTGCAGGCGCTGGCAGTGGAGGGGAGCGGCTCGTGGCCCGTGGTGGCGGGGAGGTGGCTCCGGCACGGCCGGGCCCCGCGGACACGCAGTGGGGAGCCGGGGCTGTGCCGCTGCCCTGGGCCTTACCCTGCACCGGCTCCAGGCAGGCAGAGCCGCAGCCCAGCGCGCAGCACTTCTGCATCCCCAGGCAGTCCTGGTCCTCCAGGCACGGGAAGGAGCAGGGGTAGAAGAGCCCCTCGGGGGCTGCCGCCGGGCAGGCGCCGGGTTTCTCTGCAGTGTTGCGGCACGGGGCTGAGGTGAGGCTGCACCGACGGTGTTGAGGGCAGCGCCTCCTGCCCCTGCCAGACCCCTCTGCTGCCTCTGGCTGGAACCCACCACTTGCCCCATCCCAAACCCCTCCACATGCCCCAAGCCAGCCTTTGGGGCTGTGGGCAGGAGGCTGCCAGCAGCACACAGAGAGCTGCTCCGGGGCAATGGGGATGGCGCAAGTGACAGGGACAGGGGAGAAGGGTCATGGCTGCCCCAGGACAGAGGTGCTGCTGGTGGCCGTGCTGCGGTGCCGTACCTTGTGCCGGGGTGGTGCAGCGAAGCCGGCACTCTCGGAGGCAGCACTTGTGGCAGCCAGGGCAGCTGGAGTCATCGGCACAGAGCGGGGGCTCCAGGCGCAGGCAGCGTGTGAAGTCCCGCGGGCACCTCCCTGGCTTCTGGGGCTCCTCTGCAGTGGAGTGGGACCAAAGCTCCTCATCCTCCATTCCCAGGGCAGTGGGATGGAGCTCCTCATCCTCCATCCCCGGGGAGCAGAACCAGAGCTCCTCACCCTCCACCCCTCTGGCAGCAGGATGGAGCTTCTCATCCTCCATCCCCAGGGCACTAGGAGGAGCTTCTCATCCTCCATACCTGGAGGCCCTGATAGGAAGGGGACTGATTGGAGCAGGACTGGGGACTCCCCTGCAGCATGTCCCTTGGGATACTGTACCCACACACTGAGACCTGCATGACAGCACGGCATGGTGTGGCATGGCTTGGGACTGTGTGTGCCCTTGTGAAGCAGCGAGTGCCAGTGGTGTTATCATGGAGAAGCTGGTACAGAGCCCACATTGGCTGGAGGTCAGGATCCATCCCTGAGTATCCTGGTGCCCCATGCAACCCCACTGCAAGCAGCGTGCTCCTTGCTGCTGCCACTTTCTCTTCTTCCTCCTCCTGGCACCCTGTGCTCATCTTGGCCACCCTGGGAAAATCAGGATAGCTCTGCCATGGGCACAGGTGAGTGCATGCTCCAGCCGGTGCCTGTGCCCCATTGCCAGCAGTGGGCAATGCCTGTGGGCAGTGGTTTCTGCAAACACCCAGGTCCAGCCGTGCTGTTTGGGCTGCAAACAGAGATGCTGCAGGAGGTTTCACTCCAAACAGCAGCTGTTTGGTTGAAAAAGAGGAACCTGGCCGCTGGGGCGGGCAGAGCAGCACCACAGCCGGGCACAGCTGCCCCTCATTGTCCCACGGAGGGGGGTCCTCCAGTGGGGTCTGTGCTGGGAAGTGGCACCCACAGCCCCAGCCCCACCGCTGGGGTCTGGATCTATCCCCGTGGTCAGGGGCTTTGTGAAGGGGTGGGAGGTGCAGGGACCAGAGCCCGGACACTGCAGAGCTGCAGGTCTGGCACCCACCACCACCTGCAGAGACCCCTCCTCAGCTCTGGGCTCTGCGGGCACAGACATCCCAAATCCAGGTCCCCCTGTGTCAGTGTGGGGTGCCCAGGGATGATGGGGAAGGGGCCCCTGCTGCCTGCAGCACCCCTGGGTGCTGACAGCTATTGTGCATGCAGGATGCAAGCGGTGCATGTGGTATGCAGGGCATGCATGTGGGGTGCAGGGGGTGCAGACATGCCCATGCAGCCCAGAACGGGAGTGGGCTCACGGAGGCAGCAGGGTTGTGGCACAAATGCTGCAGCTGTGACAGACATGGTCCCCACCAGCACGTGCCAGGCAGTTCCAGCATGCACCGGGCAGGGCCAGAGGGGACACAGCAGGGCAGGTTCTCCTGCGGTACTCACCTCCCTCTTCCTGAGGTACAGCGCCCACCTCTGCCCCGAGGGTGATGAGCCCCAGAAGGAGCAAAAGCAATCTCATGGTGCTGCCGGGGACGTTGTGTGTCCGGAGCTGAGCCAGGGGTGGGTTTAAGGTCCCCGGTGTGGGTGCCTGGTGCCGGGGCAGCTGGAGCCGGGTTGCCGGCCGTGCCAGGCGGCCGGGGCAGGGGGCAGGAGGAGGGGCAGTTCCTGGAACCCGCCGGCTCCCCGCCAGGCACCCGCTTATCTGCGGCCGAGCCCCGCTTGTGGGTCAGGGCGACCGCGGGGCCGGGGAGGGCGGCTGGGGTGAGGCGGCTGCTGACCCTGCAGTGCACGGCCCGGCCCTGCCCGGCCACCCCTGAGACCCCCGCAGGGGGACCAGAGCTGGGAGATGTGTCCTGGGCCAGCTCCGTGTCCCCTCGTGGTGACGGGACGGGGCTGGGACAGGGGAGCGAGTGGACTCGTGCATTCCCACATGCACCCCCTGCACCCTGCAGTGGCCTCTGGCAGGTGGGTGCTGTCCCTGCTTGTCTGAGTCCTTCATCTACCCCGTGACTGCTTTTCCAACCAGGCTTTGACATTTTGGGATGCTAATGAGCCCTTCCTTGGTGACAGGAATCCGAGGGAACTGGTTTCTGCACTCCAGCCCATGACTGCGGAGGGGACATCGGTGCAGCCCCAGACGCAGTGGGATGGTCACTATGGGGTGATGGTGGCTGGAGGGCGCCCGCATGGAAACGGGAATCTCTCCTTGCCCCGGGCCAGTGCCTGCCTGCAGGGATGACGCCGGGCGCCCGCCTGCACTTCCCTGCCTGTGACACAGCCCGGGGCTGCTGCGCCTCCTGGAACCCACGGCAGAGCCACCCAGAGCTGAACGCAGTTTATTCTGTTCCAGTGCTGTGGAGCAGCTGGGGCCGGTGGGATGCAGGGTCTGGGGATGCTGAGTGCCCTGGACAGGACCCGTCAGAGCAATGCTGGTGCAATCGGCTGGCAGTGCAGAGGATCTGGTGCAGGGACAGATGAGGGGCAGCTGGTGCTGGGAGCAGCAGCAGCTCTTTGCTCACCCACAGGGTGCGATGACAACAGCTCTGGCACCCAGCTCCTGGTGCAGCCCTTCCCAGCCAGGGCTAGGCTGTGCCTGGGGGAGATGGATGGGGCAGTCAGTGCAGGATGGATTCTCCTGTCCCGAGCGATGGGGACCATGGGGTGCTCCCACCCTGGGCCACTCTTTGTCCCTTCCAGTCTGGATCCGCTGCAGGGTGAGACCTATGTGGTGCCCAGGGCTGCTGGACCTGAGGGCCTCAGGGGGGAGTCTTACCTTGCAGCGGAGGGACGCAGGTCCGGCCGCAGCCCCGCAGGCAGCACTTCTGCTTGCGGGGACAGTCCCGGTCCTGCAGGCACAGGAGGAGGCAGTCGGCTGACCGGTCACCATCAGCCATGGGGGGACAGAGCCCGGGATGCGCTGGCACATGTGGAGGGACAGAGGGGTGAGGGGCTTACCTCTGGGGAGGGCACCCCTCTAGGGTGAGCTCCTCACCTGGTCCTGCCCCATGGGCATAGGAGCTGGGTCCCTGCACACCCACTGCCCCCTCAAGGGTGCTGGCCCTGGCAGGGGAGCTCAGCGTGGGACAGGGCAGGGAGGGGACATGGGGGGGTCTCAGCGCCACAGGGCACTGGTGGTTTTACCCTCGGTGGGTGGTTTGCAGATGTGTCCACAGCCGGTGGTGCAGCACTTGGCAGTTCCGGGGCAGTCGCTGTCGGTGTCACACAGCTCCAGGCAGGGTCCCAGGGACCCCCGCAGCACCACAGGGCACGTGCCGGGCTTCGCCGCAGCATGGCGGCTCCCTGGTGACAATGGGGACCACGGCGGTGCCAGGCTCTTGCTTCCTCCAGCCCCGTGTGGCCTCGGTCCCCACTGTCCCCCCATCACATCCCCTGGTCCTGCCCCCCGTCCCCAGGCTCGCAGTGGCCGGGGCTGTGCCAGGGTGCGTGTGCGGCACCAGGTGCCCCAGCCGGCAGCACACGCTCCCCGGGCCTGGACGGCCGCCATCGGCTGCACACCCCGCTGGGCACACACTGGGCTTCGCAGGGAGGGGCTGTGCCACCACCAGTGTGGCTGCGGTGGACACGGGGCGGCTGCGGGGCAGCCACGGGCAGTGCCAGGGGCACTCGGCTGCGGCGGCTGTGGGTCTGGTGAGCGCCTGCTCTGGGGGGAGCAGAGCCCCGGGAGGGAGGTGGCGGGGCCCTACCTCTGTCCGGGGAGGCACAGGCCAGCCCGCAGCCGGAGAAGCAGCACTTGCGGTTCCCGGGGCAGTCCCGGTCATCGGCGCAGCGGTTGGAGCAGGCAACGGCGCTCCTCTGGACACGCTTCCGCGGGCAGAGCCCGGGCTTGGCTGCAGAGAAGGGGAGGTCTGGGGCTCCGCGTGCAGCCGGCCTGGCCCCGCGGCGCCGTGGGGGCTGCGGAGCACGGGCTTGTCCGTGCGTGGGGACGCGGGGCCACCGCACCTGGCTCTGCGCGCAGGCAGCGGGCGCAGCAGCCGCGGGAGCAGCACTTCTCGCCGGGGCTGCACGCGGCGTCGTTGCGGCAGCTCGAGGCGCAGCTCCCGCCGCCGGCGCTGCCGGTACGGGGGCAGTAGCCGGGGCTCTCTGCAGGGGGAGATGCCGCGTGCGGCCGCGTGCCCGGGAGCGGGGATCACAACGCGGGCACCTGGCCCCGGGCCCCGCCCGCCTCCCGCCCGGCCCCCCCGGTACCTGTGCTGGGGAGGACGCAGGTCCGGACCGGGCCGCGCCGGCAGCACCGCTCGGCGCCAGGGCAGCCGCGGTCCGAGAGGCAGTACAGCCCGGGCGCGAGGGGCGCCCCGCTCCCCCCCGCCGGGCACTCGCCCGCCTTGCCGGGGGCCCGCAGGGCACCGGGGGTCCGCCAAACCCGCGGGGCCCGGCGCGGTGCCGCAGTGACCGTGGGGGCAGCGCCCCGGTGCCTGGTGCGGTGCTGCTGGGCCGGGGCGGGCGGCAGCTCCGTGGACAGCGCCAGGAGCACCAGGAGGAGGCTGCGCCCGCCGGACATGGCGCTGCCGTCGGGGAGCCGAGCTGGGGCTCGGCCCCAGGACCGGGATTTAAACCCTGCTGGGGTGGGGTCCGGCCGCACCGAGCTGCTCCTTCCCACAGCAGCACCATGTGGGCACCGTGGGAGCGCCGGGCACGAACAATCCAGCTCAGGGGAGGCTCCCGGGGCAGCGCTGGGCTCGCAGCCCGCAGTGGTGCATCCTCCACAGGGAGCCCTTTCCAGGTCACCAGTGAACCGTGAGCAGCTCCTGGGATGGAACACCCGGAGGGATGGGACATAGGGAGCGGTGTCCTGATCCCAGTCCTGCCTGGGGAGCATTGCAGAGCAGAGAGCAGGTCTGCTCCCATGGGACACAGATGTGGCCGCACCTTGATGACCCCACTCTGAGCTTGTCTGCACAGAAGTAGAGGCCATGGCAGAGGCTGGGGACCCTTGGAGATACGGTGCAACCAGTCAGTGATGGTCCTTGTCATGTGGAGCCCTTACAGGCAGCACCAGCACCAGCAGTGGGAGGATGCTGCCCATTCAGGAGCACAGCAGTAAAGAGAGGCAGCCAGGGGGGTGGCAGGGAGAGGCTGCTTTATTGGAGAGGATGCAGGGGACCCCAGGGAGGAGGATGAGGCTGAAGGCTCCGAGCCAGGGGGACGGTGCAGGGCCAGGGCCTGGGCATGCAGGACTGGTGTCGGGCAGCAGCTCCCCTGTGGCCGGGCTGGCAGGAGGCGGCTGTGCCTGCAAAGGGAGCAGAGAACGGTCAGCGGCATGGGCCATGCGGGCTGCAGGACCCCCGGGGCTGGCAGGCACCTGACTGACCTCAATGGAGGGGTGTCACGCAGGACACTTTGCCGCAGCCATTCCTGCAGCACTTCTGGTTCCCGGAGCAGTTGGAGTCCGACTTGCACTGGTTTGTGCAGACACCCAGCATGGGGATCCCGGGGCTGACGGGCGGGCACGTGCCGGGCTTCTCTGCAAAGGCAAAGGGACACAGTCTGAGCCCTGCCGGCACCAGCACACGGGGCAGGGCTGACCCTGCAGCCCCCGGAGCCATGGGCATGGCCTAGCCCCTGTCTACCACAGTGGAGGGACCCCCATCCTGGCCAGCAGACCCCCGGACCCCATGGTGCAGCCTGACCCCGTGGCACAGAACACGCAGCCGCGACAGTGCCGTGACCCCACTTTCCCCCACAGCTGCCGTGGCCAGCCCAGGCTGTGAGCTTGCAGTGTGTGGGCTCAGCCGGGGCCCAGTGTGCAGGGTCCCTGCCATCCTGCCCAGCTGCCTGCCACCAGCACTGGGCTCCCAGCTCTGAACCACGCCATCCTGCACTGCAGCACAGCCGGGACAGCTCTGTCCTTGCAGGTGGCCGTGGAGGTACCAGAGCCTCAGGTTCACATCCGTCCGTTTGTCACTGGAGATCTCAACTCCTGCACCCGTTCACGGGGGCTGCTCTCCAGCAGGACCGGCACAGAGAGTGAGCTCAGTCGGGTGGCCGTGGGGCCGTGTCCATGCAGGGCCAGGGATGATGGCTGGGAGGCAGGACCATGCCCATGCTCTGGGCTGGCTGCTGCCCACCAGGCTGAGCGGGTAATGAGGGCTGCGAGGGGAATGGCACCGACCCCTGCCCACGGCACCGGTCCCATGTTGCTGGGAGGAGAAAGGGTGAGTGTGGCTGCCGGGAGCACACCCCAGCCCCACCGGGGTCCCTGCTCAGTCCCCGGTAACCGCACTGCAGGCGATGCACAACGGGCGCCCAGGCCCCGCACTCTGGAGCACCGGTGCTGCCGGCTGGGCCGGGCTGTGGGCTCGCGGCAGCAGCACCGGGAGCAGGAGGGAGCGTTACCGTCGGGCTTCTGGCAGGCCTTGCCGCAGGCCGCCGGGCAGCACTTGAGGGTGCTCTCGCAGTCGCCATCGGACTGGCACCCCACCGTGCAGTTCACTGCTTCTGTCGCCGGGTCTGGGCACACGCCGGCTTTTGCTGCAAGGCAAAGGTGGAGGCCATGGGTGGGGGCCGGGGCAGGAGATGCTGCCGCCAGCACCGGCGCTGGGTCCGGGGATGCTGCTGAGCCCAACCGCGCCGGGCGCCGGCTGGTTCTCGGCCCCGGCCCCCAGCCCGGCAGGCCCTGGGGCTGGGAGTGATGCTGGCCGCTGGCCCGGGGCGTGCCGAGCCGTGCCGAGCCGTGCGCTCATACTCACTGGTGACATTCTGGGCGGGTGCTGGCGGCAGCTCTGCCCAGAGAGCCAGGAGCCCCGCCAGGACGAGCACGCTGCGGGCCTTGGGCATGGTGCGGGACCGGCGCTGCGCCTCGGGCCGCCCGGCGGCCTTTAAGCTCCTGTGCAGGTGGGGCGGCGGGCGGGAGGGAGGGCTCGGCCTTCCGGGTGGCTCCCGGGGGCCGGGCAGGGCCAGGCTCCCCCTTCGCGCTTGCACAACCCGAGTATCAGGTATCTGCCGCTGCTGGCGGCCGACCAGGGAGGGGGAGCCTGGAGGAGACCGGGCGGCCGCGCCGAAAACTGGCCGGGCAGGAAGAGCAGCCGCCAGCGCGGCCCCGTGCGCTGCGCGCCCGAGCCCTCCGGACCCCGTGCCCAGCCGGGGGCACCGTGCAGGGCTCGGTGGCGGAGCCCGAGGGGATGCCGCTGGAACGCCTGGCACGGGCGCCCCGGGGTGGCGCGTGATCTGCCCCTGCTCAGGCTCCTCCTGCCACCGCCACTGCCGCGGTCTTAGGCTCGAGTGGAGCCCCCAGCCTGAGCCACTGCTGCCCTGATGCTGGCACTGTGGATGGGCGGCTGCTGCCACTCGCCCGGAGCCCCCAGCCTGAGCCGCTGCTGCCCTGATGCTGGCACTGTGGATGGGCGGCTGCTGCCACTCGCCCGGCTCCTGCTCCAGCCGCGTGTCCTCCTCCAGCTTTCGCTCCTCCACTGCAGGGCTCTCCAGGCTGCTGTGCCTCCGGCCGGCGCTCGCCCCGGGGCTGCCCCTGGTTCCCCCCGACAGCTCCTGCTGCCCGGCCCCAGCCTCCTCGCGCAGCCCCCGCCATCCTCGCAGCCTCCAGCGGCCCCGGGGATGCGGCCCGGACCATCCGGCAGCACCGGTTGGGCGAGTGGCTGGCGGGGAGAGAGCAGCCGGCACGCTCTGGCTGCACGCCCGGTGCTCCGGGCACGGCGGTGCCGTAGGACCCAGAGCCCCTCGGCACGGCCGTCTCTGGGATAGCCATTCCGAGGCCTGTGTGCGCCCTCCGGCACACGGGGATGCAGCATCGAGCCGGGGTTTGTTTGCTCCAGTGGCCAAGCAGCCTGGAGCAGCCGCTCTCCTGCCCTGCTCTCAGCAGTTTGCTGCCCTGCCAGTTCCTGTCTCCTCCACCGGTACTGTCAGTGGTGGCTTTAATTCCTGATGATGCCCAGCACACTGCGCAGGAAGCCCAGGGTCTCCCCTTGGCTCGCAGCTCTCGGCGTCAGCTCAACACCTTTGGTTGTTTGGATACCGCTGCAATGAGGGTCCTCCTGCGTGGTGCTGGTGCCGTCTGGCTGGGGGCCATGGGCTGGGCCCCGTTGCTGGGGGTCAATCCTAGAGCATCCCAGCTCCCTGGGCCCATCCTGGGTATGGTCATAGGCAGAGCCTGCACAGGGCAGAGGGTGAGACCTGCCCCATCTCCAGTGATGTGCCCTTGTTGCTGGCAGAGGCACCAGGGGCAGACCCAGCTCCAGGCTGGAGCATCCTGCAGACCTGTGTGGCCAGGGGCATGTGGGGCTGGGACACGGTCCCTGCCCGAGTCACGAGCCAGTGTCCACTCTGCCGGGGTCCGTCTCCAGGTAATTTAACCCCACAGTCAACAATGCGGCAGTAAATCAGTAACTGTTTGCCTTTGCCTGCGGTCCCCTCCCTGCCACCGGTGTTTGTGCAGGAACAGGAGCTGGTGTGGATGGGCCAGTGCCTGCACCAACACCGCTCCGCACTACACCAACACCAGCAGCAGGATCCGACCAGCGGGGATGGGAAAAGGCTGGGTGCTCAGAGAGCAATGGAGCTGCTGCGGCTGGTGCCAGGACCCAGGCACGCTCAGGCTGGTGGGATGCTCCCACTGTGCCCATGAGACTGGGCCCCACTGGGGACACTGCATCTGGGAACTGGGCTGGGCTGGTGTTTCCAGCCCAGGGCTGACGCTGGGACTCCATGAATAAAGGGTGTTGCAGCCCAGTGGCCCCCAGGCCAGGGCCGGGACACGGTGCTCCTGTGGCGGGGGTGGGACGTGGGTGGTAACATGGCTGCTGCAAGCATGAGCCTTGGCTATGGCCTCCATCATCCGTGCTGGACGTGAGGGACCTGTGCCATCCCTGCGGATCTGTGCAGGGACAGAGCTCACCCCGATCCTGGAGCAGCAGCACTGCTGCCATTCCGGGGCTGCCAACCCCGTGGTGCCGTCCCTGCTGCCAGGGCAGGGGGTGCCCCATGCCCCACTGCAACTGAGCTGCTGCTCCCGTGCCAGAGGCGCTTCCCTTCGAGGACCATTGCCCGGTCTGACATTGTGATTGCTCTGCCCCAGCATGTGGCATGGCCTTGGTGCTGGTCGTGAGCAGCCAGCACGGGGACGCTGTGAGGATGGATGCCAGCAGCTCGGCTGCGCTGGAGCAGCCAGATGGGAGCAGGTGGGAGCCCAGGAAGAGGCAGGTGGCAGGAGACGAGGGGGAAACCACAGGGAAGGCGAGAGCTGTGGGGAGCAGTGTGGGTGTTGGCGGGTTTGCCCAAGGTTGTACCTTGGCCCCAGTGTGCCCGGTGGCTGCTGAGCGGGCGATCCGGCTGGAGCTGCCCCCAGCCAGCCAGAGCTGTTGGAGAGTCGGCATCGCTTTCCGGAAGATAGAAACGCTTTGGCTCCTGTCCCCAGTGCGTGGCATTCAGGATGCTGCCGTCCCCACCCTGGCTCTTCCAGGCACTTCCTTGACAGAGGCTGAGGATGGCTGTAGGGAGCACGGGGATCTGCCAGCACGGCGTCCCCATCCCAATGCCTGTCCCGGGGGGATCCTGCCTGGGGACGTGGGGTCAGCAGCCCTGAGCCCAAACCCAGAGGCTCTTCCCTGCAACATCCCTGGGTGGCAGCACCTGCCACCGCCGAGCCCGGTCATCCGGGTTGCACCTATGCCCTGCGGGTGACTGCAGCTCCTTCGCGGCAGCAGGGAAGGTGTTGGAGTCACGTCTCCCTGGGAGGGAGCATGGTCAATGATTAAAAGGGCCAGGCAAGGTGCCCCCGGCTGGCTAACCAGCCTCCCACAGCGGCAGAGAGCGGTGAAAGCTGGGAACAGCGGTAGAGAAGGACGCCCCTTCCTCTGGGAGACATCGGGCCCGGGCAGTCACAGCTCGGGGTCCCCATTCTGGATGCATGGGCTGATGCATGGCATTACCTGACCCTGCTGGGGCCCAGAGCACCCAGTGGCAGGGGAATACTGCTGCCATGCTGCTGCTGCCACACCCTGTCCTGCCTGCACTGCCCGCACCGTGCAGACCACGGCGGACCCTCTTCGTGCTGCAGAGCCAGAGCCTTGGTAGGGTGGAGCTGGAGAAGCACCTGGCTCTGCGCTGGTGTGATCACTCTGACCGGCTCATCCCATGCAGGACCCCAGCCTGGGTCAGCACCACGTCTGCCCGGTGCCCCCTGAGCACTCACCAGTGTTGGCAGGAGCCGCAGCATCCGGCTGTATGTGGGTGCACAGGGCGAGGATGCCCAGGAGCAGAACGATGGCAGCCTTCATGGTGCTTCCTGCAGGTACCGATGGGCAGCGCGGGTCGTCGGGGTTTATATCTGCATGGGGCTGAGGAGGGGCCACGCACACATAAACCTTCATGTGCCGAAACTCGGCTGCAGCTCAGTTGTGCCCGAGGCAGCGACAGCCCCACGTTACTGCCTGAGAATTATTTACCACAGCTCTGGCCCAGCTGCGGCAGCCGGGCTGCAGCAGGGGTGGGGATGGCAGCACCCCACAGCACCCAGAAACACACCCCGCCCAGGGCACAGGGGGATGCCGCCGTGGGCTGTGGCTTCCCCCATGGCCATGGGGAGCCTGGAGGAAGGGACTGGAGCTCTGGGGCTTGGGAAAGAGGGGACGGGGAGAAGGCTGGTACATTCAGAGTGGCCCAGAGGGTGCAGATGGGACTTTTCCTGTGACTGTAGGACCTAGGGGTGCTGGGGTGGGCCCGTAGGTAGAGGTCAGAGGGTGGTTGGTCCCCTCACCAAGGCGTGGGACTGACCACCACCACTGAGGTGCTGTTCAGGTGTCACAAGTGATTAGACGAGTTTATGGGATAGGAGCTGAGCAGGAGAATGGTCCCGTGTGGCAGTGGCCATCCTGGCAGCACAGCACAGGGTGTTGTGGGACAGAGCAGCTCAAGGTCTGTCCCCAGCCATACCCACACATAGAACCGGTGCCTGCCTCCCCCGTCCCAGCTCAGTGCTGACATCTCCCAGAGCCGCGGGTGAAGCCGGCGTCCCGCAGGCGAGCGTGGCCTCGGGGGAGTGCAGCCTGCAGTGACGTGCCCAGCTCGGCGCACCTGCGGCCCGCACCGTGCTCCGAGCACCATTCCAACGTGGGGACAGGCGGGCGGCTGCTGCCGTCACGTCCCGGCAGACGGGTGCTCTGGCGGGGTCAGCACCGGGGCTGCCTTCCACCTCCGCATGCAGGGATCTGTGGGGAGGCCCAAGGTCAACAGTGCGGGGAGGACACGGGGAGCCCGGCGCAGTGAAGGGTGGCTGTGCTGAAGCTGAGGTCTGCTCTGTGCCCGCAGGGACCCTGCGGTGCTGCCACTGCTGTGCCCTGACCCCACCAAATGGGTTTGCACCTCTCACCGTGCCCCACCGAATCGGTAAGGTCGGGCAGAGGCAGCGGGTTACGCCGGGGACGGTCCCTGCCCCGGGGCTGTCACAAGGCCAGCCCGTCTGGAAGGAGCTGCCTTTGTGCCGAGGCCAACATGAGCTCTGCGGTCTCGTTCGGGGTTTTACAGCTCAACGACTGCATTTCCCTACTTGGGGAAATTCCTGTTTGCGTCATCCCCGCTCCGAGTGGCCAAACGCACTTCTTGTTACTGAAACTGCGTCTGAAACAAAGGGTCCATCGGCCAGAGAGCCAGGGCTGTGGAAGCAGTCCCGTCCCTGTTTATGTGCACGGGGCCTCTCTGAGCGATGCCTTTGCCCTGACGTGACACGTGCCGCGGTGCTGATGCTGGGAGTCACCAACGTCCCTTGAGCAGTGCCCGGGCCTTTGGCTGGTGCTGGTGGCTCCTGGCTCGGGGGGCTTCAGCCTCCTCCCGGCTGCGTGTGCCCATCCCGTGCCATTGACCGTGCTCGTGTCCTGCCCTGTGTGCCGGGGGACGGTGGCCACCACCTGCAGCCCCACTCGCCCGCAGCCACCTCCCCCCGTGTCCCGCAGCTCCGCGGTCCCTGTCCCAGCGCAGCACCGCGGGGCCGGCCGCCAGAGGAGGCTGTTGCTCCGCCAGAGCGCACCGGGGCTCTCCGCCGGGATTGAAGCGGCCACGGAGCCGGGGCTGCTCCCTCGGGCCGGTTCGGGGGCGGACGGGGCAGAGACTTCACCGGGTCCGAGCGCGGCGCTGCCCTCACTGCATCGGGTGGGGAATCACGGAGAGGCCGCGGGAGAGCCGCGGCTCGGGGCAGTCCCGAGGAGCTGGTGCCGAGCCGGTGGGTGATGCCTCCTCCCGCAGCGGCAGGGCTGAGCGCTGGGGCGGTGCTCGGCTTCGAACCCATCATTCTGGTCACGGAGTTCACTCCCCGGATTTGGGCGGCAGGGCGGAGCGGGGCTCAGTGTCAAAGCCGCGGCACCCTCCCCATGGGCCCCTGGCAGCTCTGCAGGCACAGAGAGCGAGGAACCAGGAGCAGGGGAGATGAAAATCCTCCTGAAAGTGCGATCGATCATCCAGCTCCTTCCTCGCCTGCTCTGCTCGGCCAGAGCGGGCGCCGCGGCAGCTGCTGAGATGAGAGCCCCTGTGTGCCCTGACTCCTGTCCCCAGCCCCTGTCGTGCCATGCCCCACAATCCAGCTCTTGGGGTTAATGGCACCTGAATGATGCCATGGAGGCTGCTGCTCCATAACAGCTCTAATAGCTCTGATCCATAACCACCGGCTGTGGTGGTGCCAAGATGCTGGCATGGGGAGGCTGGGGCTGGGTGGTGCTGATATTTGAGGCCTGGCGGCAGCCCCATGCCATACATGGTGTGCCGGCTGGCAGCACAGGCAAGCAGCCTCCCAAAATGGGGTTTTTATTACAGCCATACATCACTGCGGCGCCTGATGCGGGCAGACGGCAGCGATTTTTCTTCGTGGTTTACAGACAAATGAGGGGAAGGAAAATTGATGTGAACTTTGCTATAGCGAGAGGTCGGGCGCGGGCAGGGAGCTGGTTATGGATGAGCCGGGGGCTGCCTGGTCCCGGCCCTTCTCTGGGCTGGATGGCTGGGAGCACTGCAGCGGCAGGGCCGGGAGCATCGTGTCCAGTGTGGGGACTGTGCTGCAGCTCTAGTGGCTGGAGGAGGGGGAGCTCTGGCTTTCCCAGCCCCCATTGCCCGCAACACGTCCTGAGCAGGCGGCTGTGCCCGTCCCTGGCTGTGGGGATGCTCGGAGGGATGCTAAGGGGGAGCATGTGGGCAGGGTGATTAATTCCAGCCGGGATTCAGTAGCGCTGCAGACGCTGTTTGGACGTGCAGCATCGGGTGAGCTGCTGTCAGCGCCTTCTGTCGACGTCTCGACTGCTTTTACCACTGTTAAAGATGCCTGCAACCACCACAGTCCTGCCCAGTATAAGATAACAGTTAATACCCTCCAATAGCGCCTATCAGCTTCTCCATAAGGCCCATAAATATTAATACAATTCTAATTAGTTCCTTTAAATACATTACCTAAGTGAAGCGTTTCCTGGGCAATAAATCAGCGGCAGTTCAGCACCATTAAGCAGATCATGCACTCTCCCCGCCTGTCCCGTGGCCAGTCCTGCTTGCCAAGGGATGGGGCCCACAGCAGCCTGTGCTGTGCCATGTGAGGGCTGGTGGTGCTCCTGCCTTGGGAGTTTCCAGCTGTGGGATGGGAAAGGAGGTGGGTTCTGGGGCTGGAACAGCCATGTGCTGGTGTCTGCTCTGATGCCTTCCTGCTGTGCTCGAGGGCTCTCCCAGCCCATGTCATGACAAAGCAGCTCTGCATGGGGAGGATGCATTGTGCGGTGGTTGCACTGGAAAAGAGCAAATACCAAACTCATTTGCTTGAGGAGAAATTAATACAGTGTGAAACACGTAGTGGGTGATTTAAGAAGTGAATTTAAAATCTCAACACTAATAGATTTTTTCATAAGGTCAGAGGAAAGATTAAACTCTCCAGACAAGCACAGCACTTGCCATTTCCAGCTTCGTTTGCACCATAAATATTTGGGGCTGGTGCCATGTGCCTGCGCTGCCCATGTGGGTCAGATCCTGCTCGCCTTGGTGAGGTGATCTCAGATCCAGGCCTGGTGCTGCGTGAGCAGCAATGTCCCGGCATGCTGCCATTTCCAGCTCCTCTTCCCACTGCCCAGCAGGGACCAGGATTGATAGTAAGAGATTTGAAAGGCTCCAAATGCGGAGGTTGTATCACGGAGCCACCCCATCCATCACGAGACGTCCATTATTAAGTAACACCCTGCACGCTGGGCTGATTTCACACCTTATCTGAACCCAGCAGCTGTGCCCTAAATCCTGAGCGCTGTGACTGTCTGGAGGAATTCGGCTGCCTGTGCTCAAAATTAGTGTTAGCATCTATCATTTCCCCACACCAAATGGCTTTTGTGTCGGCACTTGGCAGCACTCATCTGTCACAAGGGCTCTGGCTGCCCAGGTCTGTCCCCTCTCTGTCACTTGCAGGACCCCGCGATGGCAAAACATCACCCAAAGGACAAGTGAAGCCGTTGGGCCTCTCCCTTCTGCCCGGGCTGGTGGCACCGCTGGTGGCGAGCACCTCCTCCGTCCCCTTTGGCACAGCAGGCACCAGCTCTGCTCCTGGCTGGGCTGTCCCCATCCCTCCATCCCCATGCAGCCAGGCACAGCCTGCAGCCCCTGTCTGGGCACGTGGTTCGCGGTGCCATGGTGCCGCGGTGCCGGGCCCCTCCTGGCTGCTGCTGCCTGCAGCTGTCCCTGGCGAGGAGCTCCTGCCAGGCAGGCGATGCTGGAGCTGTCGGTGTGATGAAAAGCCTCCTGCAGCAATGCAGATAACATACAAGCACAGGTCAAGCGAGGCCCCTGTAGCCCATCCATCAGGCGCAGCAGCTACAGGCGCTCCCTGTGCCACCATCTGATGCACGTTATCCGGCACAAATGTGTATCTTCCCCCAAGGTTAAACGGATGAGTGAGGTTCAGGCACTGACAGCTCCGCCTGCCCCGGCGCGAGCGATAAACGAGCTGCAACAACCAGAGGGAGAAAAAAAGGGTTTGTTTTCTGTCAGATTCTCCTTTTGATGGTGCTGGCATGAGGACAGCGGCAGCACAGGGACAGAGGAAGCGGATCAGCTCCCGGTGTGGCCGTGGGGCGGGTGGTGATGGGTGATGTCACAGCCATGGTGGCTGTAACCGTATCACCGGTGGTGATGGACGGGCGGGAGCGAGGACTTGCCATGGCTCTGGCGCATGTGCTCAGTGCAGCCCCAGCACAGTGCCGAGCTGTGCCCACTGTGTCTCTGGCTCTGCCTGCTCCGGGCACTGCTGGTGCTGGGGCTGAGCACGGTGCTGCGGTGCATGCCAGGCCGGCGTCCTGCCACGCTGCCACTGCCCTCGCTCAATGTCACACTTGGAGCCTGTCAATGTGAAGAAAGGGTTGCGGGCGATAAGTGATCGCGCTGTCAGCCCCGGGCGCTGATTTACCACGGCGGCGCTAACGGAGCGCGGATTTCTCTTAATCTAAATTGAAAACTACTCAAGTAGAAAAATAATTTCATTGCTTCATGTTGAAGGGGCGGGGGGAGAGGGAGGGGAAGAACTCCACAGGGCGGGGGGCCTGGGGCTGCCCGTGCCCCCCATGGCTTGCTCCCAGTCCGGGGCAGCACCGCCAGCCCATCAATCTGGATCTGCAGTATGAAATACCTGGAGGGGCTGGGAGTGGGAACGGGAATGGGCTGTGCCAGTGTGAGGGGTCTGGCGCATGGCCATTTCAGCATGGGGATCCCCATGCTGAATCCCAGCATTCAGGAGGTCAGGATTCAGGTCTGCAGGAGTCATTTTCCATTAGCCAGGAGATGGGACAGGGGTGGGGGGGCCACAGCGTGGTCCCAGCCCCACTCGAGGCTATGCCGCAGGTCCCCGGTGCTGGCACAGGTGGGGATGTGCTGCCTTGCAGAGAGATGGGTAATTTGGAGTGCGAGCAAATTCTGGGCGCATTTGCTGAGCTGGGTAATAACGTGCCCAGCGAGCTGCAGCCCGAGCACGCTGCCAAATTAAAGGGATTTTTTTCCCCTTTAATTTAAAAGTCACCGTTGGGAAATCTCCGTTGGCCACGGCACTGATTTCCCCCCGGCCGCCTTCCTGCAGAAACCTTTAATTTTGATTGTCACACTTTGTGGAGTTTAACTCGAAGAAACAGAGCCATAAATAAGGTGCTGCTCTGGCTCCGAGGCTCCAGCTGTGCCGGGATGGTGACAGCACCAGTATGGCGGGATGGCAGGATGGGCATGGGCATCCCACCAGGACCATGGCAGGGGTTGCACTGGACCCCTTTGGCCTTGGAAGGCAGCACCAGGGAGGGTGTCAAAGGCTGCAGGTTTGGCTCTGGGCTCCACTCTGTCACTGGCGTGCTGTGGGGCCGGAGGAGCTGCCATGGGCAGCCTGGGGCATCTCCCGGTGTCTCTGGTCCCCACAGCTTGGTGGAACCAGCGTGTGACCCGTCCTCTCCCTGCTGGGGGTTTGGGAGGGAACCGCCTGGCAGCCTGGCTTGGCGCAGAGCTGGTGTGAGCTCTGGGAAGGTTCCAGCCCGTTTGCATTTCACCCTTCAGTAATTTCACATTTACAGGTGCAATTAAGAGGCCAGCCTGGCATCATGAAGCCATCAGTGTGGAGAGACCTGAATCCTGACCGGCTCCCATGTGTGTTTCCATCCCTGGCCATCCGTCTGTCCGTGGTCACATCGCGGTGATGCTGCAGTAACGGACCTCGACTACATTAGATGAGGTCTGTTTAACTTCAACGCTGCCTGAGCCCTTCAGGTGGTGGCACAGGGCACAAGCAGGGGGGAGTGGTGGTGTTGAATGGTGACCACAGCACAACCAGGGCTGTGTCCGTGCCATGTTCATCGCCTCAGCAACCCTGTGTTTTACAGGCAACCCACCAATGCAGCACTGCTGGCTGGACCGTGATGCCCAGGACACCACCAGCAGCACATCCCTCCTGTCCCCCTTCTCCCACTGCAGTGGGACACGGCTCGGAGAAGCCGTCTTTCCCTTTAAGCTTCCTCCCAGTTTAATTGGATAGGTTCGAGCCCCAGCTCATGATTTCTGCAGCAGTTTGGTCTGAGATTTCTTCCTTTGCCTCCATTATCCACTCTGATTAACTGAGGTGCCCCTGTCAGCGCTGCTCGGTGGCGCGGGGAGCGCCGGCGAGAACCTGTTAAAATGCATGAGCCTCTCCTAGCCAGCGATGCCCAACTGCAGGACGGGGGTGCAGCTGTGGGGTGGGGGGGCTGTCCGGGGCTGGTGGCGGTGCTGGGGTCCCGCGGGGTGGAGGGCTGCAGGCAGGGCCCCACCATCCTCCGTACTGCGGCTTTTCCAGTTCGCAGGCGCTCATTTCACATTCCAGCTCCAACTTGTTCCCTTTTTTTCCATTTTAATAACACCAAAAGCATCCGGAAGCACTGCAGCACCCGCGGAAGAGCGAGAGCTGACATAATTAAAAAGTGGCTTCAATCAGGCTGTTTTCCTAATGGTTTGTCCTATCAGCCCACACGGCCCTGCACCCCCGTGCTCCCAACCCCCTGAGGCATCATTTACATTCCTTAATAACCCCTCATCACTATTCATGACGTGGGGAGGGCAATAACGGCTGAGTGCACAGCACTAATTCAATTTCTGCGAGGCTCAGTGTGTTTAGTTAATCACCGCGGGACCCGGGTTACTCAGTACAATTATTTATTCAGAATTAGATCTCAAAGCATCTGGATTGAAACCTGAACTCGTGATAAAATGAAGCCGGGATTCGGCTGCCCCCGCCGCCGTCCCGCACCGCGCTCAGCCGCTGCTCCCGCACCAGCGCCCAGTGCCGCGCTCGGGGCAGCCTTTGCGGGTCACTTCTGGGTGCTGGCGGCAGAGGGGGGCTCTAGAGCAGGCGTGCGGGGGCCGGGGCCCTGCCTGCAGCAGCAGCACGGCCTGGGGGGCTCCCACATGCTCGGGCTTCGCCCCCGGCTGCGTGCGGGGGCTCGGGGTATCCTCCCTGCACGGCGCAGGTGCTGCCCCCGCTGTCTCGTTCCCATTCCGGGCTTTCAGCGCCGGTGCTTTCACAGTCCCCAGCAGCGGGGCTCTGCCGGGTTTGCAGCCGTCAGGGTGAGAAACGGCCCCTGAGCTGCTGCGCCTCTCCCGCGAGGCTGCCGGCTCCCGGCGATCACGTTTTATTTAGGGCAGTTAATGCAGCAGCTTCTCAAATTCCTTTGTTTTTCTGAATGTTCCCCCCCCAGTCCTCCCGGGGAAGCGAATTGACCGTGCTCTATCCCTTCCTCTAACGAGGAGAGGCTGCAGGCAGGAGGTGCCGTTCTGAGTGAAGACTATTCACAGATCATAGGACCATGGAATGGTTTGGGTTGAAGGGGCCTTAAAGCTCCTCCAGCTCCAACCCCTGCCACGGGCAGGGACCCCTTCCACTGGAGCAGCTTGCTCCAAGCCCCTGTGTCCAACCTGGCCGTGAGCATCCCTGGTGCCTGCCTGCATCCGAGGTCTCCTGCTGCACTTTGCAGGTTTTACAGCCATGGGGGTATTTATTGCCCTGGGTCAGCGCTGCTCGAGGGATCCAGCTGTGCCCCGGCTGGAAGGACCCCAACGCTGCACACGGCAGAACCAGAGGATGCGCTGATGAACCCTTTATCCCATCTTCCACACACAGATTTGTCATGTTAATTCTGGCATGATGGATGCCGCTGCTCTGTAACGGAGCCACGGTGTTATAAATGTGGCTCAAACAAATTGACGAGAGCCAGACCAATGAATCTAATCGGTTTATTATTGCTATTACAGCAAGCAAAACAGCGCTGGGCGGCCGGGGAGTCTCTGCTCTGCCAACAGCACGCACCCCACTTCCCCAAAGTCACTGGTTTTATACTCTTCTTCATCCGATGTACGTGTCACTTCCTGGCGTATCTGCGTCGTTGTGACCCGTTGATAAGGGGTCTCATGCTGCCTCCCGGTGGGTGTGGGGAGGAAGGCTCCTTATCCCCTTCCCCCATACACCCTTTACTTTACCGGATGCCTGCGGTCAATGAGCAAAATGTCGTAATTTTCCAATAACTCTTAAGCAAGCAAGATTTGATTAACAAACGGGAATTTACTCATTACACCGGGACGCTCCAAACGTTATCCACATCTTTAATTTGGTGGGCGCTGAGCGCGGGCTCCCGCCGCGATGTGCGCAGGAGCCACAGGCGGTGCCGTGCGGGAGCACCGCAGCTCGGAGCCCGTTTCTAACGCTAAGTCACAATAAATCCCGCCAGGCTCTTTAATTGCTCCCATTTGTTAAGCTGCGAACGCTGAACAACGGTTGAGCGTTGGAACGGTTCGGGTGCAGCCGCTGACGCTGCCGTCCAGCGGTGCGCACGGGGCGCGCTGGCGCGGGGCTCGGCGGAAGGATACAGGAACAGGAGGCTGGCGGATGGCGCCGCAGCGCGGAGGCGGCCGCGACCTTTGCCCTCGTAAGGCCGCTTAAGAAGTAGCCCCGGGCGCTTTGCGGCGGTGCCGTGCTTTTTGCCTCTCGCTTTCCGGCAGAGTGGCGCGCTCCCAGGCCTGCCTTACGGCGCGGTGTCGTGCGGCCCCGGTTGTTGGCGACAGTTCCGCGGTGGCGGGGCCCGGCCGGTGCCATGGACGTGGGGGAGCTGCTCAGCTACCAGGTGAGCGGCGGCCACCGGGCCCGGGGGAGCGCCCCGGCTCTTCCTGCCGCCCCCCTGGGGAGGGACGCGGCGGCCCCGGCCGGGAGCGCGGTGCTTGGCCGTTGGTGTCGGTAGCGCCGCAGGGCCGGGCCCGCCGCAGCTCCGGGCGGGCCTCCGTGCGGAGCGTGCCCGGCCGCGCTCGCAGGGCCCCGGTACGGTGCCGCTGAGGCGAGGCCTGTCCTGCCCTGGGACACGAGGAGCCCTGGTGGGAGCCGGTTACCGGGGCTGCTGAGGGCCGCGGCCGCGCCGCTGATGGGTTCTACCGGCCAGACGCGGTTCGGTGCCGCTGCCGGGCCCTCTGCCGAGTAAAACCAGCGCTGGTTTCTGCCCTGTGCTCTCGCTCTTCCTTCCCCTCTTTCAGGACAAACCCCATCCTATTCTCACCGGAGCCCCTGGGAAAGTTTTCCTCCTTGGGAAAGTTTCCTTTTATCCTGTGAATGTTCTGCTCCCGGTGTGTGGCTGCGCCTTGTTCGGAGCTCGGTTATAACGTGGATGGTGTTTCAGCGCCCGGGGGTAGGTTCACGTCCCTGTGTGGCTCGGGGCCGGTGCTGCCTTTCTGTGTGCGGCAGTGTTGGCTGGTACCTCAGTGCCCGGCGTTATCCCAGCACAGGAGCTGTGTGACTCGATCCAGGTCTTAATTCCAGGCACAGGATTCCTTATGGAATGCCTTCCCACATGCCCCCGGTGTGTGTTGTTCTGGGGGGACACCGTGTGTGTACAGAGGTGGAAGGAGCATCCTGCTGCACAGCACGCGTCTGGGTGTCCAGAGGGTGTCCCTGGGAGGTGCACAAGCAAGGAGGGGATGTTGGAGGTTACCTTTTAGTCTGGTGGATTTCTCACCATCTCTTGAGTTCAGACCTCCCCAGTGGGGTTAGGGTTGGGGTGAATACAGGTGAGGGGAGTGAGGAGCAGGAGGTGGATAAACGGCCCTGTTGGTCCTGAGAAGTGGGATTCCCCTCTGCGAGGGCTGAAAGATGGAAACGGGAATTGGAAGGAGCAGGTTCTGCTGCTTCCAGGCCATCAGGTGTCTGCCATGGCTCTGAGTCAGGCAGAGCAGGAGCCTTTCTGTGTTCTTGGAAATGCACACTCTTGTCCACCAGGAGAATCAGATAGAGTGGTTCTGTGGTGCCTGTGCCACAGAAAGGAGTCCAACCTGTGTGTGGTGGAGAAATGAAGGGAGCTCTGTGTTGTTCCCAACTGATGGGCTGTTGCTTCTGTGAGGAGGAAGAGCGCTCAGGGGCTGCTGAGGAGGAGGATGGCTGCTGTCTGGTGCCATGAAGATGGCTGCTGTCTGGTGTCATGAGGCTGCCTTGGGCACAAGCTGGCCCCTTTCCTGTCTTGGGCTGGTTCAGGATCTCCTTTACCATTGCTGCTGGGGTGGCACTGGCTGTTGGGGGCAGATGTTGTGCTCCTCAGCCATCTGATTTTAATCTCTTGCTGCAGATGAATCTGTCTCCTCAGCTTTCCTCAGCAGAGCCCACAATAATTGCTTTACTCTTGCACTGTTTTGAATTTGTCTCCTCTAAATGCCTGATCTGTGCCCTTGCTTAATCAAGATGATGTTCTCCCTCGCTGCCAAGCCCGGCGTGGAAGAGTTTGGGCGCTGTGCCACCGACTCAGCACCACGTGTGGGGAAAAGGAGCCTCCTCCGACAAAAAATACAATTAAACAGCACCTGGCAGTTTATACAAGCTCAGAAATCCATAAACTTTATGTGTTGCTGCAAAACAGTTGCAGATGGTCTGAGCTGATGGTTAAATATCGCTGCTGTTCTGCCTGGCTCCTATATCTGGTCTCCCATTATGGGGGTAACGGAGGGGACAGAGCCAACCCTGGCTCTTCCAAGAGATTCCTTCCAGTTGGGAGTAATAATGGAGCCTGCTTTAGCTGCCATTCAGTGCAGCTCTCGCTGCTGTGAGTGATCATTACAAACTGTTCATTTTTTTAATGCACTATTAGTAAAGTCAGATAACAGAAGCAGCAGCAGGTAAGGGATGAGGTCTGACTTGGGCTGGGCCGTCTGCTCACTGGGAATGGGCTGAGTGTGGTTTGTAGTGAGATGAGTCCCTGTGGATCAGCAAAGGCACGATTGCTGCTGCTGTAGCTCATTCCCTGTAAATCTGCACTGGAATGGGTCCCCTGGTGCAGGGGCCGTTCGGCTGTGCAGGGTTTTAACTCCAGCCTTGTTGTCCTGGTTCTTCTCATCCTGCTTTTGGCTTCAAACATGGAGCTGTCACTGGCCCCATGTGGCAGAGCCTGCGTGTACTTGCTGGTGTGCTGGTACCCAGGCTGGTGCGCTGGTACCCAGGCTGGTGCACTGCTGGCTGCAGCTGAGCTTTCAGTTTACTTTTTGCTGTGTTATCCCTGGCCATCAAACCAGGGCAGGGAAGGTCCCTGCCCCGCGGGGTCCCAAAGGCTGCACTCCTCAGGGTGGGTCTGGAGAGGATGAGGGCTCTTTCTCTCTGACAGTAA